TTGTGCAAGGTTTCACTATGCATTTTTTATCTTTTTAAAGAGTACAAAATAGTATTAAAACAAAAAATTATAAATTATATAGAATTTCACTCAACAAAATACGAATTTCACAGTATGTTGTATTACATAATGTTGTCTTCACTTTAGTTGTTCAGATTACCAGATTATGAAAAACTGGAAGAAAGAAAAAAATTATAAGAGATTAAGAAGAGAGAAAAAGGAAAAAGAAAAAAGAAAAAAGACCAAAAAAAGCATTAACTGTTCTGTTCCACAGACCAGCAGAAATCCACAGTACAGTTATGCAAACTACCTTGCTTACATACATAGATATACCTCTTTCCCCCACTCTTTCTCCTGTCCTCCTTAACTCAGTAATTCTTTCCCTTTTGAACAGGTTTGTTCCTTTTTCGCAGTATCTATTGTGCCCTTCAGACTTTTATTTTATTTTTCATTTTTTTAAAATAATTTTATTGATAAACAGCAATGAGACAGTTTCAAATCAAATCGCTAGGACAGTTTCAATAATTAACACACTGCACACATTCTTCTTAGTGATTAATTGCTGTACAAGATGTGGACTTCAGATCCTATTTACAAACACCATTAGAACAAATAATTCTACTCATTAAGAGAATGTAACTATATATCTATCCCATCCACTTTGAATACAAAGATACAAAATGGACATTCATTTGTATACCGCTTTTTTCCTAAGTTCCGTTATTTGAATATTATAGGTGTGTAAACTCAGCAAAATATTCTAAAAGAGTCCAGTAGCCCATAATAGCAATGGGTCTTCTGTTTAACTGGCAATGTCAGAAATTATTGACCTGAGTACCCCACAGCTCAACATAACATCATGGCTTTACTTCCTATATTTCGTCTTCATACTTCTCTACTGGATGGTTAAGACCAAGGTAAAGCAGGACCTATGCAACAAGAGTTGTAGCTTTTTGGTTTGAGAAGCTCAGTGAAATGCCCTCAGGATTTATCCTGAGATCCTGTACCTCCGATTGTAGAACCTTTCTCAGTGTCAGCCGTGTGCAAAAGTCATGGCCATTGATTGGCCAATGTGCTCTCTGTGAAAGCCTGAGAGAGTGTTTTATCTCCATGCGACTCTCCTTAGGCACACTCTACATCATCGATCACCTTCCTCTTTGGCCCCATAATCTCCTTGATGAGAAAATTTGGACACTACCAAGGTACATCATGTTACAGTACAAG